TCATAATTGCCAAAAACTGGAAGTGTCCCCAGTGTCAATGTGTGAATGGATATATCATATAATGGAACAGTACTCAGCAGTAAAAAGGAACCAACTGTTGGTGTATGCAACAGATTGAATGAATATTAAAGACATTATGGTTAGTGAAAGAAAACAGTCTCAGGATTCCATTTATATGACATTCTCAAACATATAAACCTATACTCATGGAGAACAGATCACTGGCTCAGGGATTATGGGTGGGGAGAGGAGGATAAACTAGTGATAGCATGAGGGAGTTTGGTGGTGTGATGGAACTGTTCTATTTCCTGAGTATGGTGGTGATTACACAAATTTATACACATGTTGAAATTCATAGACCTGTATACTCCCAGTCCTCCCCCCAAAAGTCAATTTTACTGTATCTTAATTGAAAAAGTAAATCCAAAATCATATGTGTCTGCTTTTTAAGGCATTTGGTCTCACTACAGACTAAATAATCTTATGTAAGTACTTTCTGATTTCTCTATTAGATTTTTTTAACTTTCAAGAATTTATATGCAGAGTGACTGATAATGCAGAAATCTTTAATATTAAAGGAAATAGTACTGTAATCATTCTATACAAAGAATTTGCATGGTTACTCAATACAACTTCACATTTTTGAATAGGTGATAACTCATTTATTGAAATAATATTATCCAGTGGGCACTTTGCTGAACATTTTAACTATACTTTGCTCATAATTATGGTTAAGTATTATTTTCCCTATTTTACACATGAGGAAACTGAAGCATAGAGATATTAAGTGCCTTTCCTAGGATCATACAACAGGAATGTGATAGAGTTAGGATTTTAACTGTCTGTTAGATTCAGAATTTTTTAAAAAAACATTTTGTTGTAAAATAAAGCACAGATTCGGAAAACCACACACACAAAAAAACCAAATGTATTTAATGTATAATGAGTAAACACAACTATAACTACCATCTGAGTCAAAAAGTAGAACTTGGCCAGCTACCCCAGCTGCTTTCTATGTACTCTATCCCAATCAGAACTGCCTTCCTCCCCAGTACTAAGTATTATTTTATTTTTACAGTATCCAGTTTCATCCCCCAAATACGTATCTCTGGACACTATAATTTAATCTTACCTATTTTCCTTTTTGAATTTGAAATGTTTTTTTTGAGTCTTTTAATCTTTAAGTCCCTCTTCTCATTTCATTTCCCTACAGTTCAGCATTTGAACTCTGGACATTTTGACTTGTGGTTTCCCATTCTTTGGATTCCGTGAATTGCATACCAATGGTGTAATTCAGCATGCTAGTCTGTTCTCTATATGTCTTGCAGGTTTTGCTAAGTATCCAGAGGCTTGATCAGACTCTGGTGTGATTTCTTTGGCAGAACTGTATGTAGTTGGTGTTGTGTTCATCAGGAGGTACTTGATATCTGCATGAGTCTGTTTTTGTGTATGTGATGTTATGAGCCATTGATATTTAATGCCTACATCCAGTGATTCATTGGGGGTTGCAAAGTGTTGATATTCTAAATAATTTTTCTTTTACTGTGACTTAGGATACTTCTGTAAAATACTGTCCTCACCTGTTATTTTGTTATCAAATAGCACAATTTATAAGGAAAAATAGGATAAATACTTAATTATTTATTTACCAGTTTTTGAGATAGTAAATTTATTCCTTAAAAATGAAGGTGTTTTTGTTTATTTTTTAAAGGATTGCTATGCACTCATAAATTTAGATATATTTAGATTTTAATCGATTACAATTAATATGGTTAATGAAGCTCGAGTTGTCCTATCTTTGGCCAGTGGGAGCCGCTTTAAGAGATTTCCGAATCCATTTATGTGATCGTAGTAGTGTTTGATAGCTTTCTGCTCCTGGTATAATAATGTTGTTCCATGCTTGCTTTGTAAGTTTCTGATGATTCTGTGGAATCAGCCATTTCTCCAAAAATCCCTGGCAATGGAGATTATTATATAGTAGAGTTAATATTATTTAAGGAGAACCTCAATGAAGAGCCATCAGTACAAATATCTTGGATTTAACTTCAAACAGTATGTGGGACGTAATAGGGACTCAAGAATTATTTGTTGAATGGTTGTCAGAATGTGAATATCTCTGGTTAAGGTCTGTGATTTTGTACCTCTTTTTTTCCTTTACAGTGTTGCTGCTAGGTGCTCAGTAAATATAGTAAAGTGAATAAGATCACGATCTTTGCTAGCAGAGCTTATTCTACCATATATTTGTTGTGTGACCTTGAAGAGAGAAGTTACTTTACTAAACTTCTGTTTTTGTATTTGTAAAATGGGTTAACAACAAGGTCAAAGGACTGTTGTGAGGTTTAAGTGAAATAATTTAATAATAATTTAATAATCATAGATTTTAAAAAATGAATGTAGAGATAATATGTAGTTGCTGTATTAATATTTTAAACCTTAATGTTTGCCAAATTGATAGTTTTATGCTCAAGTAGAAATAGACAAAAAGGAATGTAAAGGTGTGTTTTCTGTAGTACACCAAATTAATTTGTAAAATACTTTTTAAGTGCTCTATAGTGTAGAAATTCAGAAATTTCCCCTGAAGTGATTCCTGTGTGGGGGAATACTTTCTCTTATGTGATCAGATTTTTCAGCAGATACTATTAATCTTGTTGACCCTAGATTCTGCTGCTGAGTACCCGCCTCTTTGCAAGGCTGCCATGGTGCTATGGATGTCGGGGACATCTCAGCTTTCACTGACAAAGTGGGAGGCAGATGAATTCCTGAGTTCACAATTTGGAACTTAGAATATTAATACCACTCCCTCTCCATGGACGGACACACACATGCACACACGCACACACGCACACACACACTTCCCAATATTTATAAATGGTAGGTAGATAATAGTTGATTAATTACTTTTTCAGTGTGGGCTAGCCTGGGAATAGAATTACTATTTTTATCATTGTTTTTATATAAAAGGGTAGTGCATTCTGAATTCTCAACAGGTTTCAGAATAGCCTGTTCATTCATGATGGCCTGCCTATTTTTATATATGTGTTCCTCACTGCTTGTCAGGTGACAAGCATTTACTAGCTTGTAACCATCAGGGATTATAAGTATATCTGAGTTTCAGGTTAAACCATATACTACAGATAGTTTACATTTTGGTGCAATTGAGGCTGAATGATAATATTACTGATATTTTATTAATAAATGATTGAAAACCAACATTTAATGTAGATTGTAACTTGGTAGAGTGGAAAAAACTATGGTTTTGGAGTCAGATCTGGGTTCAGATTCTAACCTCACCATTTATTAACTGAATTTGTTACTTCAACTGTAAAATGGAGATGATAATTATAGGGTGGTTATGAGATTTTAAATGATTTAACATTGTCCCATGTACAGTGCTTAGTTAAGGCATTTGGTACACATTAACGACTCAGTAGCATATCATTAGATTCTTAATTCCTTGCAGTTAGTTCTTTAACTTGACATACATAAAAGTGATCATTTTACTGAGTTACAGCATAGAATTGTGTTTTAAAAGGCTAATAGTAAATAGGTATGATAACATTTTTATATATCTTTGGCTGTGTTAATTAAGGATGGTTTATTTAATTTTGCCATTTTTATAATACCCATAAAAGCATTTATTAAGTCTTATATATTAATGAAAGCTTGAGTAGGAAGAAAACAATGAATAAAATACTGTGCTATTTAGTTTTCAAATTATTTTACATAGCAGTGTTTGCTTTGGCAGGAAGTCTTATTTTATGGGGTTATTGGCTAAATTTTTATTTCCTGTTATGAAATAGTAAACTTTCGAAGTGCATATATGCTTCTGAATTCAAATGTATTTTATCAATGCCAATAATGACCTACAAAGTTTTCATTGAAAGTGAAGTAGAAACCTAGCAATGTAAATAAATTTGATAATTATTCTTTTATGAAGTTGATGATATAAACATAAAAGCTTACCTAGTGTAATATGTTTATAGTCCATTTTCAGCTTGATAAACTAAACACTATTAAATGAAAAGGATAATGGCCTTCAATACGGAAAACAGTTTGTGACAAGTTCATCTTCATTATAAATGCTTCACTTTAATAATATTTGGCTAGGTCATAGTAAATATGAGATGCCTAGAGAACATTAGTTATAGGGTATTACTTACTTAAAATATCTAGCCAGCTTTGTAGAACATAGAGTTAGGAAGTTAAGACCAGTTCACTTTTCGGTCAGTCATAATGAATACTTCTGTGTGTCAAACATGGTCTGAGATGATGGAGAAGAAGCAAGAAAAATAGGAGATAGGGTCTCTAATCAGAAGACACAATGAGATAGCACTTATATAAGGCAGCAAAATATTCTAGCAAGGATTAATGGAGTACAGAATGACTATATCAGCTCTCATGGAGGAAGAGAGGGGCAGGATTTTGAGAAAGTTGACTGATGTGCATTGATTGACAAAGAGGATAAGGAAGAAAAAGTCCCTGTTCTAAAAAGAAGGAATGGTATGTTGTGGGGTGACAGCTGAGAATACCAAAGTTGTTCTGTGGAAAGTGAGCAAATTGAATTGACTTGAGTGGAAATTTGTGTAGAAGATAGTCACAAATTAGGTTGTACAGCTAATTGGATTATGGGGATATAGAAGATGTTAAGCATTAATGTGAAAAGAGAGACATTTCAATTGCTCTGTATTTTAAAAAATAGACAAAATTAAACAATTTTGTGTTCAGAGAGGAAGTTTTATGGGTGTTGACTTATTTTAAGATGAACTATGAAAGAGATTAAAGCACTGAATGTTACTGCATTTTAGTGTGATTTACAAAATGAAAACCCATTCCTTATTTGGATTTGAAAGGCACTGCTTGCAGAATAAGTGAATGTACAAACATTTTATATATCACAATTGGCTACATAAAGAAAGAAAAAAGGGATTAAAAAGAAACTATATTAAGACTAACTGAAATTTGAGTAGGGCTGAATTTCGTATTTTCTTCTTTTATTCTAGGTTGCTACTTTTGTTAAGAGAATACCCATGACCCTGATGGTGTTTTCATTCACAACAAAGTGCTCTATTGCCCTTACTGATTAACTGAACAAATTCAGGTTAGTAAATTTTATGCACAGCAATTACCCATTCTAATTATATATTAGTATTTTGAGAAATGAATACTTTACAAAAGAATTTATTTTATTTTTAAAGAGGAAGGGAAGAAGAAAGAGAGGGAGAGAAACATCAGTTGGTTGCCTCTTGTATGGACCTCAAGCAGGGATCGAACTGCAACCCAGGATGTTCCCTGACTGGGAATCAGACTGGTAACCTTGTACTTTGTGGAATGCTGCCAAACCAACTGAACCACACCAGTCAGGGTGAGAAATGAATGATTTTGTGTTTGAAGCTACATATGTATGTATCAGTGAAGTAGAAAGGCCAGTCTAAACTCTGTTGAATTCTGTATTAACAAATATTTTCAGATTACCTACTATGTATAATACGACATGCATAAAATGAAAAATGTTTTATTTCATATAGTTTTGGTTTTTAGTTTAGTACTTTAAAGTAAAAGGGCTGCATAAAACAAGTTGTGGCTGGTCCTGGCTGATGTGGCTCAGTTGGCTGGATCATTGTTTAGTAACTGAAAGGTTGTAGGTTCGATTCCTGTTCGGGGCACATACCTAGGTTGCAGGTTCCATTTCCAATCCAGGAGTGAACCGTACCAAGACTGGGTACATGCCAGGAGGTAACTAATCGATGCTTCTCTCTCACATGTATATTTCTTTCCCTTCCTCTCTTCTTTCCTCTCTCTCGAAGAGCAGTGAAGAAATGTCCTGGGGTGAGGATTTAAAAAAAAATAAACAAAAATCAAGTTGTAGCTGAATATGGTACATCGTATTCTTGCATTGTTCTGTGGTGTATTTGGTGCTAAAAATAACTCATCTTAAAATTTTTGACAGTAGCTGAGTTTTAACAGTTTGTTACTTGTCCAGATTTTAGCCATACATTAAACTTTTTATTTATTTGCATTTAGGGTTCAGTCTGAATTTTGACAGATTTATCATTTATCACTATAATCTTCTAAATTCACTCAAATCTACCTCAATCCTGAGCAACCACTGATGTATTTTTTTGTCTCTATAGTTAAATGACTTTCCTAATATGTACCTTAGCATGTACCTTTTTAAAAAATTATATTTTATTGATAATACTATTACAATGTCCCAGTTTTCCCCCTTTGACCCACTCTACCCAGCACGCCTGGGTCATGTGTAAGTTCTTTGATTACTCCATTTCCTGTACTGTACTTTATATCCCCATGGCTATTCTGTAACTACCTATTTGTACTTCTTAATCCCCTCACCATTTTACCCATTCTCCACCCGCCCCCTTCCATTTGGCAACCACCAAAATTCTCTCCATATCCATGATTCTGTCTCTGTTCTTCTTGTTTTCTTAGTTTGTTTTTTAGATTCAGTGGTTGATAAATATTATTTATCGCCATTTTATTGTTCATAGTTTTGATTTTTTAAAATAAGTCTCTTTCACATTTCTTAGAACAATAGTTTGGTGATGATGAACTCCTTTAGTTTTTTCTTGTCTGGGAAGCTCTTTATCTGCCCTTCGATTCTGAATGATAGATTTGCTGGGTGAAACAGTGTTCACTGTAGGTCCCTGGTTTTCATGACTTTGAATATTTCTTGCCAGTCTCTTCTAGCCTGCAAAGTTTCTTTACAGAAATCACCTGAAAGTCTCATGGGAACTCCCCTGTAGGTAAATAACTACTGTTTCCTTGCTGCTCTTTAGAGTCTCTTTTTATCTTTAACCTTTGGCTTTTAAATTTTGATGTGTGTTGGAGTGGGCCTCTGCATCCATCTTGTTTGGGACTTTCTGTGCTTCCTGGAGTTGCTTGTCTATTTCCTTCACCAAATTAGGAAAGCTTTCCTTCATTGTTGTTTTCAGATAGATTTCCAGTCTCTTGCTCTTTCTCTTCTCCTTCTGGCACCCCTATGATGTGAATGTTGGAACGCTGGAAGTTCTCTCAGAGGCTGCTTACACTATCCTTGTGTTTTGTGGATTCTTCTTTTTCTTGTTCTGATTGGTTGTTTTTTGCTTCCTTATGTACCAGTTAATTGATTTGATTCTCAGCTTCATCCACTCTACAGTTGTTTCCCTGTAAATTGTTCTTTATTTCAATTAGTGTAGCCTTTGTGTCTGACTGATCTTTTTTATGCTTTTTTAGAGGTCCTCACTAAGTTCCTTGAGTATCCTTATAAGCAGTGTTTTGAACTCTGCATCTGATAGATTGCTTATCTCCCTTTTGTTTAGTTCTTTTTCTGGAGTGTTGATCTGTTCTTTCATCTGGACCATGTTTCCTTGTCTCCTCATTTTGGCAGCTTCCCTGTGTTTGTTTCTATGTGTTAGGTAGAGCTGCTATGACTCACTGTCTTGGCAGCATGGCCTAATGTAGTAGGTGTTCTGTATGGTCCAATGGTACAGCCTTTCCTATCACCCAAGATAAGTGCTTGAGGTGCATCCTCTGTGTGGACTGAGAATACCCACCTCTTAGAGTTGAGCCTTGGTTGCTGTTTGCAGGTCAATGGGAGGGATTTACCCAGGCCAGTCAGCTACAAAGACTGGCTGTGACCACTGACCACCAACCTCTGCCCTCCATAAAGGATCAGCTTTGCAAGGTTGGGTGGTGATGCTCCAATGTGGTCTGTCGCTGTCCACTGGGATTCCCAGGGTGATGCAGGCCAAGGTCAGCCTCCACCTGTATTCTGCCTGGGGCCATCCTGCTTGAACTGTAAAGCCATCTGAGATGGCTATTACTTGTGCTGAGCTTGGAGATTCCCTGGTGAAGCCAAGCTGTGAATCTAGACTGGCTGCTGCTAGTGCCAGGCCTGGGGCCACTTTGTGAGAGGTGTAGGGGCTAGGGTCTTACTCAGGCTGGCAGTTGCTTGTTTGATGGGACTGAGGAAGTTGTGATATGAGCCAAGACCAGACATTCATATCTTGGGTGGACCTGTGCTGGCTCTGTGGCTTTGTTGGGGAAGGGTTCAGAAGAGGAATATTGGTCTCTGTCCCCTTTCTGTCAGTGAGAAATCTGTCCCCCAGCTCTTGCCTTGATGCCACAGACTTCAGGTACTCCCTTTATGCCACTGGTGCCTTTAAAGCTGCTACCCAGTTGCTGGAGCTCAGAGGGAGTGAGTTTGACTAAGTTCATGTTTGGATTCTTTAAGGGGAGCTGCTTGGGATTCCAAATGTTTTTTCCATTGACTCAATCACCACTGCTTTTGCACCCAGAAGTTATGGGGAGTTATCTTTCTGGCACTGGAACCCTGGGCTGGGGCCTGGTTTGGGTCTGGACTCCTGCTTCCAAGATATCTGTTCTGAATTTTCATCCACCACACATGGATGTGGGACCAGCCTGTTCTGTATGTCCACCCCTCCTACCAGTCTGGATGGATGTGGTCCCTTTTACTCCATAGTTGTCAGACTTCCATTCAATTCAGTTTCTGTAAGTTGTAATGATGGTTGTTCTATGTTTTAGTTGTAATTTTGATGTGGTTGTGTGAGGAGGCAAGCTGTGTTTACCTATGCTGCCACCTTGACCAGAAGCAGCATGTACCTTTTAAAATCTGGCTTCTTTTACTTTGCATAATGGATGTGGATTCATCTATATTGTGCATACTAGTAGGGTTTAAAAAAATGTTATTTTTATTATTATACACTACAGTGAGCATATGCACTCACCAGCTGATGCACATTGGGGAGTTTTTGGTAATTATTGCAGTCATACTTTTTTGTGTGTAATAAAATATTCATAATAAAAAATTTACCATCTAGGTTTCTGATGTCTCATCTGTAGAATGAACATAAGAATATTTATCCCAGGGGTTGTAATGAGGATTAAAGAGAATTAATTAGATAAAAGTACATAGCAGTAGAGGTAGACTTTTAATAAATGTCTTTATTATTTTTTTAAATGATCAGTGGAAACTTTACTTTTTTATTGTCTATTTTTCTGGTGAGTCTATATGGACACAGAAATAGTGCTCACTATTATCTTGGAGCCCAGTAAGAAAATAAAAATGAAGCAAATTCTCACTATGTTGACCTCCTAGAACTTTTCCCAGTTTGAAAGAAATTTAACCAGGCCACTCTCGGCATAAGATAATGCTGGGTGTGAAAAGGCTCTGGAAGAGAGGTGTAACTGGAGGAACGATGGTAGAATTTTTTATAGGCATTTAGCAGTAGGGGGTCAAGCATAATTCATCTAGTTTGGGGAATAGTTGGTCAATGAAGACTGTCAAAGAATTGATCTTATTGATTATTGGCCATTGCACAATTTGGATTTTATCAGGAGGGTTGGGGAGAAGCAGCTGTAGGGAACAAGGACAGAAGGCCAGGGTAGAAATTCTCAGGTTTTTAGTATTTTCACAGTAGATTTTTCTGTCATTGGAGTTTTTAAAAAGATTTTATTTATTTTTAGAAAGGGAAGGTAGGGAGAAAGAGAGGGAGAGGAACATTAATGTATGGTTGCCTATTGCATGCCCCCTATTGGGGACCTGGCCCACAACCCAGGCATGTGCCCTGACTGGGAATGAAACCAGTGACCCTTTGGTTGGCAGGCTGGCACTCCATCCACTGAGCCATAGCAGTCAGGGCCTATCATTGGATCTTGCAGTCTTCTCCCAACTACCTCACCAACTTTCCCCTTGCCCCCCAAATAGTCCCCTTACCCTGATCATGATTTTAGACTGTTTCTAGTTCTTGTTTTCAGAAGGCAGTATCTTTATGAAACTTCAAAGAACAAAGAATTAAGTATTTTGTAGTGCTGGAAAGTTCTCTCAGTTTTTACTCCCTGCCTTCTTTGCACTGTGTTTTGGATCCTGTTATGTAGGTGCTCTGCAGTAGAAGAAACAGTAATAATGTATGATAATGAAAAACTTTAAAGTATACATATGGCTGGAGGGAGATTTGAATAGGGTTTTGCAGCAGCTTGTTTAGTTGATGATAAATCTTCAACTTAAATTGTAATTGACTTTTTAAATTCTGCCTCATCCTTCTGTGATGATTCTAGTAGAAGTCAAATGAGGTAATTTTTGATAGATGATTTGCAAACTTTGGTATGTGCAGCCAATCTTCCAAAGCTTACCTTGTGCTTTTCAGGGAGTTCAGCTTGTGACTGAATGGATCAGCTATTCTCTTGTACCTTTTTAAATGGATTAATGGTTTCAAGTAGCTGGTGTTTAACACTCTTGAGTCTTGAATTTGGTGAATTGTGTCTGAGCTTCACATGATTTCTTTGCTTTTATGAGGTACTTTTTGACTGCAGGTGGATCTAATCTCTTGCAGATATAATTTATGC